CCAGGGAGGTGGAAACTCTGCTCCCCTGCTCCAAAGAGTTTGTGGAAAGGGATTGGGAAGCTCAAGAGATCTGCTGCTTCTCATTTGGAACCTGAGCAAGGCCAGGCTTCCTTGATTTATGTGTGATTGTGAAAGGCACAGGGCACTGAGTGGTACGAGGAAGTCACTGGCAGGGCACAGAGACTCTGTGACTGCTGTTCGTACCCGCGCCGTGGAACTGCTGAGGGACGGGGCAGTGCAGAGGGCCCGGCTCAGCATCCCCGGAACGCCGGCCCTGGCTCAGCTGCCCCAAACCCGGCTCACCCCCCCATACCCGGCTCACCCCCCAGGCCCCGCCGCCCCCGGCCCCGCGTTGTTGCCGGAGGGCGCCCCCTGCTGGCGCTCGGCGGGACCGCGGGCAGGGCCCGGCCTGGCAGGAGGAGAAGGCGAGGACAAGGAACTTTCCTGGGGCTCTGGGACACTTTGGGGCACAGGTTACCCTGAGCAGCTCTGCCTGCCCCATCCCTGGAAGTGTCCAAGGCCAGGCTGGGCAGGGCTTGGAGCAACCTGTCCCATGGAGGGTGTCCCTGCCCATGGCGGGGAGGGGGGAATAAGATGAGCTTTAAGGTCCTGTCCAACCCAAACCATCCTGGGATTCTCTGAGATACCAGGATTTCAGCCCAAATAATAGGAATAATCATTCTGTTAATGCTGTTCTAGGCCACTTACTTCAAGTGGGCCTTCATTAAGGGCTGCTGCCCTGAAAGGCAGAAGACACAATCCCAAAATCTGACAACACCATCTCCTGGTCTCTGGCTCTCTCTGACTCTAAGACCTGGGCTGGACAGAACATATTTCATGCTCTGAACACTAAATCTGGCCCTCCCTGAGCCTATCCAGTGAGAAACCTGCAGTTCCTGCTGGCTGTGAGCTCGGAGCAAGCTGAAAGAAGGGAAGTGGAGCTGCAAATCAGAATGTGCTGCCTGCCATGAAGGTATTGGAAGTCTTTATATACATAGAGATGGCTTGTGCATTCAGTTTTGGGTTTGCAGAGGCCTTGGGGTCTCCTGGGACCAGGTCAATGTTGGTCAAAGAGTCTGCTCATAGGATTCTGTCCCCAGATTCTCTGGGAATCTTCAAGTAGCTGTTGGAAAGACTTCCAATCAAATAAGTTCAAAATAAGTGCTAAAGGCAGCGTGATTGTGACCTTTCTTGATCACAACCATCCCAGTCGCCAAGTCTCCTTGGGAATGGCCTTGAAAAGCTGGGAGCTTTTCAAGCACCATCCATCTCCTGAGGCTGTGTGTGGAAGCAGTTCTGCCCACCCCGGGCATGCAGTGGGGACCATCTGGCAGTGGTCAGGTTGTTACAATTTGCTGTGTCCATCGGTTCTAACCCAGCGCAGTGCTTTGGCACAGGACAGATCCTCAGGTGAGCTCCTGAGTTCCTGTCTGGGAACTTCCCAGCCCCCTCCCTTAAACATGGGGTTTCTGCCCTGATTTTGTCTTTTCTGCATGTCCCTTACCCCTCCATAGCAGGCTGGTTCTCGAGATCATCTCTCAGGCCTCCTGTTCCAGCCAAGACTGAAAAATTACTTACGGTGGTTTTAAATTGTTTGTAAGTCGTGTGCCAAAATCTGCTTTTACACAACTATTTTTATGTTTCATTTCATAGAATCACAGAGTGATTTGGGTGGGAAGGGACCTTAAAGCTCATCTTGTTCCATTCCCTGCCATGGGCAGGGACACGTTCCATTAGCCCAGGTTGCTCCAAGCCCTGTCCAGCCTGGTCTTGGACACTTCCAGGGATCCAGGGACAGCCACAGCTTCTCTGGGCAACCTGTACTAGTGTGTTGTAAGCAGAAATAGACATTTCCACTTCTTTTTTAGGTTGAGAACTCACCAAACCAGTGAATAATCTCAATAATACAGGCCTGGTGTGTGCAGTCACCCCCTTCACTATTGAGGACTGGGTCAGAAACTGGAGCTAAGTCAAAGGTTTGACTGAAGTGAGGATGAACAGACTCAATGAGAATCCTTAATTCCTCATCCTCATCTTCCCAAATTAATAAGCTCTAAACATTTCATTGTAATCAATACTGAATTTGACACAAAAATCAATTTTTATCCAGGACAAACCACAAAATCACCCAGCACAAAGTATAAAATTAAGAAGCACAAACATCTCCTATAGATTGATAATCAGCTCATCCCAAAAGTTATATAAAATAAGGCTGAAGGACACTTTGTACACCAGGTACAGAACACAAAAAATGTGTTTTGTGGTATTTTGTCTCAAAAATATGTATTAATGTTACTTATTGTATGTGCCATTACTATGAGCACACAGAATCCTAATTTCCCATGCCTCTGAACTCTGACTGTGGGGCTGTTGCACATCTAGATGAATCAGGCTGAGAGTGGAATGTGTAGAAAAGAATCTCCTAATGTTCCAACCTCACATGGATTTTAGCACAAAGGAATGGGAAAGCAACACATATCTACCTGCCTGCTTGGGGAAGGTGGGAAGCCAGTCACCCAAGAGTGACTTTGATGTGCTTTTCCTTTATTCAGGAATGTCTTGATCTGCTTCAGTTCAAAAATGTGGTCAAGGAAAACGTTCCTCAAGAACTACAGATCTCTGACATCAGGAACAGGCTCCCCTCCCCTGCAGGACATCCCTGCCTTGGACAACAGCAGAAATTTAAATTTTAGCACGAAATTTTCTCATGGAAACAGTGGCACAAACAAAAGATTAACTCTTGGTTTGTTGCTTTGACCTATTCCTAAGGTAGTCTGGTGAGGTGATATCATAAATTCAGTTTTAGGTGGGTTTGTACTGAATAAAAAATGCCAGTTGTGGCAAAAGCACCAAAAAAGTAACATGGTATAAACTAATGCTCCAGAATAAACTTACTCTCCTGGCTCCAGCCAGGTCTGTAATTTCCTGCATGGTTATGGCCACTTATCCTTGCAACACAACAGCATCTCACAGCAGCTTATCCTGTTTCTTCAGAGGGAAACAATCTTCTCACTAATGGTTATTTAAGCCAGTTTGTGGTTTAATGGGGACATTTTAAGAAAAGTCGAAGTGTTTGAGAAAATGTAAAGATGAAAGAGAAGGCAGAGCAAATACAACCAAAATTAAGTTGTGAATTTTCAAATCTGTGCTTCACTTGCACATGTTGATCCAAACTGTTGGTTGTGCAAGTTATTCAGGAGAAGATGTTGACAGACCCTCCAACAAATTACTGTTTCTCTTCCACAGACTTCTCACAGAACATGGAAAGGATAAAACCGTAACTGTGGGCAGAGAGGAGAAACCTCTTGAGGCAACTGGAGCACAAAACTTCTGTTGATGGAGAACTTGGAGACCAAGTGCTCTTGAAATGTGTTTTAGGCCATTCATAGTTCAGAAGATGGAGAAAACTATTGGAAAGACTATTTAAAATCCTGATTACCCCAGGAGAACTTGAAGGGGAAGCGACTGTGTTTGGTTATGTGGCTACACTGGGGCCGGCAGTGCCTGGAAAACGCACTCCCCAGGATGCAGGAGGCCAGTCAGGGACATCCTTAAATAATTGGTGTGTTTTAACAAAATAATCATGGCATTTGATGGATCAACATTGACTGGAGGAAGGGGGAGAAAGGTGGATCCATGGATGGAAAATTGCTGAGCTTAACTGCAAAGTGCAGGAAGATAATAAAGTATTGACATCCCGGTCCTTGGAGAGGGGTGTGACGTAAGGAGTGACAAATCAAAAAGTCACCATGAATTTGTCAAGAACAGGGGAACAGCTGTTCAGGGAGCAGCACTGAAAGAGATCCAGGGATTACAGGGGATCAGGAAGAGTCTGAACCAACGTGGTGATGCTGCTGCTGAGTCTGCAAATACCATGCTGAGAGCCGTTACCTAATTAACCTGATTATTGGACACAGACCTGAGCAAGAATGCGAAGTTGAGAGGAGTCTGGAGCAGCCCAGCAATGGTAAAAGGTTGACAAAATATGGCCTATGAGATCATGAGGCCTCTGAGAATTTGTTTAGTCTAGAAAAATGAAGTTTTAGGGACAAAATTATAATATTATGTGAAATGACACAGTATCTGAAATGTTAGTGGAATTTGATGCTTATTAATCGTTCTTTGTATCTGCTGGGCACCACAAAAGAAATGGAAGTTCATAGCCAAAGTACAGTTTAGATGCTGGAGAAAACTTTGGGGTTTAATGGCAGTTGGGTGCTGGAACAGGCTGGGTAGGAAGATTGCAGAATCCACTTTATTGCAGGTTTTAGAAAGGGTTGGACTGGCTTTGGGCAGGACCAGTCACACCTCCCGTTTCCCCTCTCAGTGTGGAAGTGCTTTGGCCCTGAAGGTGCGATTAACACACCTTGTGCTTTCCCTATGGAAATACACAAGATACGTGGTGGGAACGCTGTCAGACCCTGCCATTATGATGGAGACAAAGCTCATCTCCCTTAATCCGTGCCCAAGTCCGAGCCTTCACCTTCTGAACCACCTCAGGCTCGCAGGCCCCGCTCCGGGGACACCCTCGCAGGCTCCAGCCCTGCCCCAGCCCCGCGGCCGGCGGGAGCCCGGGCTGCTCCAACAGCCGCGGGGGCGGTTGCACCGCCGCTCCCCGCGCGGGGCCGGGCCGCACAAAGGCCGCAGCCCTCGCGCTCCGCGACCGCGCAACGGCCCTTCCCGGCAGGTACGGCCGGGCCGGGCGGCTGCGCTCCCGCAGGCCGCGGGTCCCGGGGGCGGCCATGTTTGAGTCCCCGCGGGCTGCGGGAACTTTCGGGGGAAGTTTGCGGGGGCCGGGGCGGGCGGCGCGGGGCGGGCAGGAGGGGGCCGCGGGGGGCGGCGGGCCGCGCTCCGGGCCGCGCACACGCGGAAAGCGCGCGGCGCTCGCGCTCCGGCGGCCCCGCCCCCCGCGCCGCCCCCGCGCCGCTCCCCGCGCGCCCATTGGCCCGCGCGGCCGTCAGTCAGCGGCCGGGCCCATCTCGCGCTCCCCATTCATGCAGTTTGGTTGCGTGTTGGTGTATTTTACTGTTTGCAATAAAGAGGGGGGGATTTTTTTTTTTTTGTTCAGTTTCTGCCGCAATTAACTCTTGGTCCCTTAAACATCTTCCTTTTTTAATTTTTTGAGGGGGGGTTCGGGGCTTTTTCGGTTTTCGTGGTTTTTTTTTTTTTTCCTGTCAATTTTTTTTTTTTTTTTGCTGCAGGACGGTCGGAACAGTTTTTTTTTTTTTTTCGCCGCTTCCATTTATTTTCGATATCTTATCTCTATTAGGTTTTGCAATCAACTATTAAGGTGCAACTATGCCCAAAAGAAAGGTAAGTACGGGGGAAAAAAAACCAATTAAAAAACGAGGGAAGGCAGATGGGGAGCGAAGGGGGAAAGAGATTAAAGCGGCAATCGCGGAAATTTAGCTTAAAAAAAAAAAATTTTTAGCGCGCGCGCGCGTGTGTGTGTATGTGTGGAGTTTTTTTGGGTTGGTGTGTGTCTCCGTGTGTGTCTGTGTGTGTGGGTTTTTTTGGTGGTTTTTTTTTTTTTCTCCCCCCCTTTTGCATTTTTAATTTTTTTTTTTTTTTTTTTTTGGTGGATGTCCTAGAGCGGAGCGCGGAGCGGAAGGGGGGAAAGAGGAGGGCTCGGGCGGCGCGGCGAGTTCACTTTTTGGGCTGTTTTGTTTGGGAGAGGAGGAGGAGGAGGAGGAGGAGAAGGCTGGAGCAGCAGTGTCTCCATGCTGGATTACAAACAGCCATAGCGCTTGTGCTGCCCCTGTGGAGAAACGCGGGGCAGCCAAAAAAAAAAAAAAAAAAAACCGCGCCGCGACCCCCCCACACCCCCCCAGCCACCTCCGCCAGGCTTTTAATCCCCATCGCGCCATCCCCGCCACGATCCGCCTTTAAACGTCGCCTCTTTCTCCTGCGTTTTGCCTTTGTTCTCCTTTTTTTTTTTTTTTTTTTTTTTTTTGCCTCCCACTTCTTGTCATACCAGATGGTTGTGCAATGGTAATTTGGGGCCATTAGGCGGCGCAGAATTTGAAAAACTGGCCTTTAAGGAGAGACAAAAAAAAAAAAAAAAAAGGAAGGGGGGGGGATTTATCGCCGTAATCGGGAACTTTAGGGAGCAGCGGGAAGACGAGGCGGCGTCCACCTCCCGCCCCCCTACTTCCCTCACGCTGAGGGCGGAGTGGGGGGCGGCGGGGCCGCGGTCGCTCCCGCGATGTGTCCGAGCGCTGCTTGATAACGGCGCCCCACGGCCCCGTACGGGTGGGGGCCGTGACCGAGCCGAAACCCTCGGGCGGGCGCGATCGCCTCTCTCCCGGTTGTCCCTCATTGTCCTTGCGGGGCCCTCGGCGACCTTGTTGTGTGAGGAGGGGGTGGGGTGGGGATGGGGGGAAAGAGAAAAAATTGGCGGGAACTTTTCGAACCCGGCGCGGTGACGGCGGCCGCGGGGCATTGTGGGAGTTGTAGTCCGTGAGGCGGCGGGGAAGGGGGGGCCGCCATTGCTGTAGGTACTGGGGAGGTGGGTTTGTGTGTGTGTGGGGGGGGTTATTGTGACACCCCCTCAGGGTCTCTGGTGAGGGGTTAAATGTTTCTTCCTCTCACGTGTCGCTTTCCCTTGCAGGCTCCAGCTGAAGGCGAGGTAAAGGAGGAGGTAGGAGCTGGTTGCGGTCGCCACTTCCAAGGGCTCTGCAAAAATTGGGGAGTCTGCGCCGCTCGTGAGGGGTGTGGGGGGGAGTTTCAGATCGAGGGGGTGGCCCAGCCACTGATTTTGGGGTGTTCAGGGCCGTCTCTGTCGCCTGAGGTGATAGGTGACCTGCCTGAGGTGGGTGCTTGATTTCAGCTCCTCAGGGCTGAAGTCAGGGATCATCTGTTCCAGTGGGAATGTGGCAGAAGCCAGAGGCCACTGGGAAGATGTCCCCTTCCAATGAGAACACATCCTTTTTCTGTGGGAGCACATCCCTTTCCAATGGGAACATGTCCTTTTCCAGTAGGAACATTTCCTCTTCCAATGGGAACATGTCCTTTTCCAGTAGGAACATTTCCCCTTCCAATGGGGACATTTCCCTTTTCCAATAGGAACATGTCCCTTTCCAATGGGGTTATGTCCCTTTTCAGCTCCTGGAAGTAAAGAAACTTTACCCCTCCCCACCTCAGTGGGGTGAAGTGGCAGCAGCAGAGGAAAAGCTGAGCTAAGCAAAGCTGCACTTTTGGGGAGTCATAGAATGTCCTGGGCTGGACCCACAGGGATCATGGGATCCCAGGATGGTTTGGGTTGAAAGGGACCTTAAACATCATCTCAATTCCACCCCCTGGGGGACACCTTCCACTATCCCAGGTTGCTCCAAGCCCCTTCCAACCTGGCCTTGGATATTCCCAGGAATGGGGAGTCATCAAGTCCACACCATAATGCCCATAATTTCATAAAACCTGGGATTTCTGTGGGGTTTCATGATACCATGTTATTTTGGGTGGCAGTTTTGAGAAAGCTCTGCTTTATGTACTCTCTGAATTTTAGTGACACCTCTTTCTTTATACAGCCAAAGAGAAGGTCAGCCAGACTATCTGCTGTGAGTATCCTTATTTATTCCTTGGATATCACATCACATGGGATGGGGGCAGTTCAAGACAAACTACTGGGGTTTCTCCACCAGAATTGAGTCTTCAGTATTTAAAATTCCCATTCCATGTTGCCATGTATTCACACATTACAGGCTTCTCACGTGAGGTACATCTGTGTTAGTGAACATTCAGTCTGGACACAGGAGTGTCCAGAGTCAAGGAATATTGATCTGAGGATGGATTTGTCCATAGAAATGTTCATGGCTCTATAAATTACCTGCTCTCTCCTTAGCCTGGTAATTTGCCCATCGATTTTTGCAGGGCCAACTGTTGGGTAAAGAGTTTCCAAAAGTTACCAACATAGAAATTATAAATATTTGTTTTAAGTATAAATGTTTATTTCTGGCTTTCACCTGACCCTGTTCCTTGTGTGTGTTTTGTACAGAAACCTGCTCCTCCCAAACCGGAGCCAAAGCCCAAAAAGGCAGCACCTAAGGTAAGTCTTGGGGAATCTCTTGGAGTTATGTTTTCCTTCTCAAGGTGTTTATAGGGCTAAAAAAACCCCCACAGTTAACCACTTTAGGGTTTTTTCATAATTATCTTTAAATGTTTAAGGTGGAATTATGTGAATGAAAAGATAGAATTTTATCCAGTTCCTGGCCAAGGAATGTGGTAAACTGAGCAGATTTCAGATCCCTTGTGGTGAGGCTTTGCAAGGCCATTCTGAAGTTTCATATAGTGCATTGTTGGGAAAATGATGCTTGGAATAGAGATCAGAGACTCAGTTAGAGAAGGCATTGAAAATCATGCTTTTAATTACAGTTCCTCACTATATTTCCATTCCAAGGCCCTCTCTGCAGTTAGTTATCAGTTTATCACTTTTTAAGCACAGAGAGTTCTGCAGACCCCTTTCCTTAAGCTGGATGTTTTTGGAAATGTCAAAAATATTGGCATGTCTGACAGTATAGTTTAAAAAAAGCTATTTAGAGCTCCTTTTTGCTTTGGAGCAACAGTTTGAATTTCAAGGGGGACAGTTCTCAATCCATGAGGGATTCTTTGCATCCCCTTTCCTGTCACAGCCTTCCCAGCAGTCAGTTTGCAGTGCCTTTTTTTTGTTTGTTTATTTTTCTGTAAATATTTAGGATTTTGCAGCTCCAAAAAAAGGACACCCCAAAACACCCCAGCAACAAAATTTTAGTGATTGTTTTTAACCTGTTCCCATCACACGTTTCCCTTGTGGGTTTGGATGATGAGGTGGGCAAAGCCCAGGAGCGAGAGATGCTTTGGTTGCAGAAGGGGAGGATGAGTGGGAACCAGGAGCTCTTTCCTTTTCCATCTAAAATGCCTTGCAGTTTCCTGTGGCACAGCAGACTTCCAGGTGAGGGAACTATTTCCAAGTCCTGTTGTGTGGAGCAGCAGAGATGCCATGAGAGATGGAGGAGAGGGAGAACCCCAGGTGTCATTTTGGGGATCCCTCAGCTCTGTGACCTCAGTGCTGCGCAGAGCAAGGCGCTCACATTCCATCCTGCTGCTGCAGCTGGATTTCTAGGTCCATTCCAGAGCATGGGGAACTCCACAGCTCCACATTCCTGGGTGGATGGAGCACTGGACACTCAGGATTGCACTCCCCTCTAGTGGGTGTTGCCCCAGGAGGAGCAGGGCATTTGTGTGTCATCCACAGGGTTGGGATTTGCTTATTTTTTCAAGTTTAAACACAAAAGCTGCTGTAACTGATTTTAAAAGTTGTAGGAACACGGATGCAGGAGTTTAGGGCTATAAGGGGCTGTCAAAGCTTAGTTTGGGCCCTCACTGCACAACTGTGTGGTGTGGTCTCCCTTTGGGATAACCCCTGGGAGCAGTGCCTTGGGAATTGCTCCCAGCTGGACTTGGAAGCCTTGGTCCTATTGCTCCTGAGGTGCTGTTTGAAGCCAGGATACCTGAGCTGCATTTTTGGCCCTCTACAGCTCCTCATACTGCACCAATACCTGTGAAAAACGGGATGGACTAACAATTGTGGAGGCATTTTTAATTCCCATCTGCCCCCAAATGCTTTACTTGCCAACCTTCAGGTTCTTGGAATGGCTTTGTGTGCTTCAGAACAGATTTCACCTCTTAAACTTTGCCAATGTTGAAAACCAGAGTCGGGAAAGGAGTTTTGTCACTTTTAGTACACGTGACCTTAGTACTGAATTGTTGTTGCCATCTCTATAGCAAAATTATTGAGGAACATGGATACAATGCTGTGTCCTGGGAGACACTTTCCATCCAGCCATGGAACCCATTTTCCCTGGATTCTCCTCAAATGCTTTCTGAGGAGGGGCTTTACCAGCACAGGGGGGCTACAGAGAATTAGTTTGAGCTCTGTAAATACTTTGTTGTCTCTTTTTAATGGGGTGAGGGAAAAGGTAACCACTGCCATAGTGGAACTGTAGTTCTAAATCTCACTGCCAAACACCAGAACACCTGGATATTCCCAGTCCAGGGAATCCCTGACACCACACTGTAGCAGAATTTCCCAGCTGGGCTGAAATCCCTGAGACTGGAATGTGGGAAGTTAAAGAGGAAAGAGACTGACTCCCTGTCTTAAATGTTCTGCATCATTGTAGGGTTTGCTGTTAATTTTGGTGAATTTTTAATCGTCAGTATCATTGAAGGATCAGGTGCCTTCACCTTCTATTTCATGAGTTTGCCCTGAACCAGCAGCTCATTTTTAAGGTGAATTAGTTTTCTACACTAATCAGCCAGGGGTTGGTATAATAAAGTAAACTTTTTGTAACCTTTTAGTAACTTCTTGTCGCTGAGACAAATCTTTTGAGTATATATGTATATATATATATGTATGTATTTCAGTAATTTTCTGTTTCTCTTCACATTCCTGTGTGTAGATTTTGCAGGTTTCATGGTTGCTTTGTTGGAAGTAGGTTAATCAAGCAGGAGCTGAGCTAGTTCAGTTACTGGCAGCAAGAGGCAGATCCTTGGAAGTGAAACTAATGAGAGTCGTGTATTTGGGTCGGGATCTGACCTTGCCTATGGAAAATTATTACTACAGAAGCATCAGGTTTTGGGTTTTGTTTTGATTTAGCCTGATTCACATATAAGAAACTGCACTTAAATAATAAATGCAAAGCTCTTGTTGTTATCGAAGTGTTGCTGTTGAGCCCCCAGTTTTTCTGTCACACATATGGTTTATTATAATAAGGAATATTTTTGGCAGGGAAGAGGGGAAGTCCTTGGACTACAGCTTTGTTACAGTTTTCTAAATAAGCATTTAACAGCACATCTGAAGGATTCTGGTATTTCCACTACTTGTGCATGTTGGTTTTGTTCTGTGGCTGCTTTTCAGCAGCAGGGTACAAATACAGGCCAGTTCAACATTTTTTAGCTGATTTAATTCAATGCCTATTTAAAATAGGAATTCCTTTAACCCCAGCCATGGTTGCTTTTTTATTATGCACTTCCCAGTAGCACATTCAGGAGAGCATAGAAGGAAACACTTCTTCAAAACTTTGATCTCATCTTTGTCAGAGGGAAGTTTGGGGTGTGGAAGGAGGTTGTGTGGAGGGTTTGGGAGTTTACAGACATGCAGATGTACAAGGTGGAAATAAGGACTTAATAAACTGTGGTCTGTTTTCTTAACAGAAAGAAAAAGCAGCAAATGATAAAAAGGAGGACAAAAAGGCAGCAACAAAAGGGAAGAAAGGAGCCAAAGGCAAAGAAGAAACTAAACAGGAGGATGCTAAAGAAGAAAACCACTCTGAAAACGGAGATACCAAAACTAACGAGGTACTTTAGCTGCACTAACCACGGGAATACAGCCAGATGTGCTGGGAATCCAGCTGCAGGAGCTCCCCTGGGCTCCTCACAGGGTGGGGGGTCTCACTGCCACCCTGGAAGGACAGCCCAGCTGGGGATCTGCACAGAGAGAGCCTGGAGGAACAGCCTTGTCCTTCCAGCTCCTTCCTGCCCTGTGCTGGAGCCCTTCCACAGGTGGGCTGTGCTGTGCCGGGGTCCCTCCAGGGCTGGCTCAGGCAGCGTCGAGTGCTTGGGAACAGTGGAGCTCAGGGAGAGCTCTGCAGCCCTGAGCTGACTCTGCACACCCTCTCTGGGCTGCTGGCTTCCCTCTGCTGCTCAGCACGGGCTGGTGCTGGGCCAGAAATCTGGTTTTCAGTTTTACACAATTTCTTCAAACAGTCCTTTCCCTCCGAACAATTCAAGAGATCTGCAGAGTCAGCTCGGTCCTGTCTCTTCATCTGCAGCCTCTTCTCACAGGTCCTTGCTGTGGCAGCTCCTGCCTCAGAGCTGCCTTTGGCTGGGACCAGCTGCAGGCTCCATCCTGGTGGGATTTTCCCAGCAGATCCCTTGCTGGCAGTAGGAACACGGAGTTTTCCAAGGGCTCTCTTTGCCCTTGAGTTCTCTGACTGACAGAGAACTCTGGTCTCTCCTCACGGGTTCAGTGTCACCATCACTCAACCGGTTGTTTATTCTTTCATTTCTAAAACGAGATCAGGAGCTGCTTTGCTAAAACAATACATGGCTGATGTGGCTCAGGGTGTCTTTGAGAGGAGCTTTGCAGGTTTGGTGTGTTACCTGCAAAAGTTAAAGCACATTTTTGTAGAGAACAGGTGGGAACTGAATCCCCCAAAACTGAACAACCGTACCAGGGGCTGATGTGTAACTCTGAGACTTCCTTGTACAATGAGGGCTTGAACTTCCCCTGTCATAGCATTGATCCTAATCTAAAATACATTCCCAACTTCTGCCTCTCTGTAGGCACTTACTCCAAAATTACCTCAAGTTGTTTTCATTTTTACAATTCTCAGCCTCGTTGCTGTGTCAGTGCTATCCACACAAAGTGTCCGTGTCTCTGCTAACAAACTGCTCTCTCTTTGATGCTTGTTAGATTGGAATCCAATTAGCATTTCCAATAATATTTCTATTCTTCCCAAACACTTTTATAGGCACCAGCTGCTGAAGCATCTGATGATAAGGAAGCCAAGTCCGAGTAATGTTAACCCTGCCCTATATCTCCATCATTTGGTCTCCGTACCTCCATGCTGTATTGTTAACAGAGAGGAATATTTTTATCAACTATTTTATAAATGCAGGTTTTTTTAGCATGAATTTAATTATGGAACATCTTCATCTCGGTTACTTGGGAATTAAATCCCTAACAAACAAAAGAAAACAAAAAAAAAAGTCATTGTTTTTAAATTTTGTGATTGTAATAGTTTGTATGGTACATGGAAAGAATAAGTGGTGGTAGCTTTTGACTTCTGTCAGTGTGTCCCTTTTTGTGTAAGTCATGCTTACAGACTTCAGATTTTAATTTTTCCCTTGTATGTGTTGTATGGTTTCTTAAAGTGGGGAGGTCTCAAAACAAATAACTGTGTGAAACATTCCAGTGGTTCTGTGGGTTGCTTTTATAAAGAAGGTGAGCTATTTTCATGAAAAAAAAAAAAAACTTAAGAGCTGGAAATCTGTTGTTTCCCAAATGTAATTTTATTTTGTCAGTTTTGAAAAAAAAAAAAAAAAAAAAAAAAAAAAAATAAATAAAAGTGTAATCCTGTTTTTAAATGAAATACAAACATTTCTTTTCAAAAAGGGCAGGTTGGTTGTATGTACCCACTGTTAGGAATTTTGCTGGATTTATCTTAATAAAAAAGACTCCTCAAAAGCTGATTGTGGTTTGTTGCTTGTGCTGCTGGAAAGCTCCCACATTCCAGGAGAGCTGCAGTGGGACAGGGAGAGAACAGAGAGCTTTGGGGCTTGAGCCCCTCTCTGCTTCACCTGTGTGACTTCCCATTAATCCAGACTTCCTTATTCTGGGAATAACAGCTGGACCAGAGCAGTGGACTGGGGGTTTAGTCCCAGTTTTGTTGCTACAGCTTTTCTGTGCAGCTTTGCCAAGGACACTTTGACTTCTCCTGCTCAACCCTCCTTTTATAGGAAGTCTCATCCCATTGGTGACCAACTGCACGATGTATTTAATAAGAAGAAAAATGTCTGCAATGCAGAAACTTTATCTCTGCCTTCAAATTGTTCTGCAGCCCAGCCTGGAAATTCCAGGGGCTTGAATATTTTATCTCATATCCAAACCCCAACTCAGCAGCTCAGGGCAGAGTGTCTTGGATTAAATGTGGGATTCAGGATCAGTCCCCCAGGGCACGGGCTACTAGAGAATGTTTAATGTGGGTTTTATTTTTCCAGGCCTGAAGTGCTGGGAATTTTTATTCCTGCTGCTTTTGTTCTGTAGGACTGCTCAGGGGTAACTGGGTTCCAGCTTCCTCAGCAGCAAAGGTGAGGGAGTTCTGAGGGGCCTTTTCCTTGGCAGTGTATTCCATCAATCCAGCAGACATTTTGGGATGTACTCTGGTCTCTCCTCCGGTGAAAACCGGACATAAATAACTGGACTCCCTTTGCTTGGTTGGATGAGTGTTGAGATGTGGGTAAAACCAGGGGGAGTCTGACTGTTCCAGTTTGAAAATGGTCCAACAGTAGTTCAAATCTCATCCTGACTCTTTCACATCTAAAAATGATGCACTGAATTTCCTCCCCTACAAAGGACAGGCTGGGAGAGCTGTGGCTGCCCCTGGATCCCTGGAAGTGTCCAAGGCCAGGTTGGAGGAGCCTGGGCGAGTGGAAGGTGTCCCTGCCCATGGCAGGGAATGGCACTGGATGATCTTTAAGGTCCCTTCCCACCCAAACCATTCCATGAGTTTTGCCTGCAGCTGATGAGAAATCCCAATAGGCCTGAACTCCAGGGAGAAAACACTGGAATGAAATGTTTTATACATTTTCCCCCAGCCTGTTGTTTCCCTAAAAGGGCTTCAAACAGAAACCCAGTTCTGCAGGAAGGGGAGTTCCTTCTCCAGCTCCTGATGCTGTTGAACCTTCTCTCTTTGGCTTCAGCCCCCAGACCCTGAGTGTCTCAAACGTTGTCATTTGAGCAGCAGATGCTGGGTATAGTCGGTATTTCCTTCCCAGCACAGGCCCATCCCTCTGCCAGGGTACAACCAGCCCATCCCACGCTCACTGAGGTCACTGGTGTCGTGTCCCTCAAACACGAGTCCTGAGGTTGTCACCCAGAACATACAACTGAGTGTTTGGTTCTGGTTATTTCTTCCTCCTCCGGTGCCAGGGTGGGAGTTGGTCTTAATTCTATAACTATTGTTGTGATCAAATTCCTCATTCAAATAAGTACAGAAAATTGCCCAAGAACTTTTCAGACAAACTTCTTCACTCACATTGAGAACTTTTTGCAGCCATGGGGGATGGAGGGAGTTGCACAACTCAGTGGATTCTGTGGCTTCTGCCAAACCCTCCTCATGGGCTGGGCTTGGTGTGTAGACACCGAATCAAAGCCCAGCTCCATGGTGTATCCCAAGCTTGGCTTAGTTTGTCCAAAAAGTAGAGGTTTTGAAGGAAAAAAAATCCTGTTGAGTCAGCCTACTTTCAGGTTTATTGGGAATTTGTGGAGAAAGCACCTTCCTTGAGGTCCTTGGCTGGCTCTGGGTGCAGGCAGCGTGTGTTACCTGTTCTGATACTGGTTATGAAAGATCCATGGAATTGCTGTGAATCTGATTGTCATTATTAATCAGAACAGTCAGAGACCTTGATGCAACGAGGTGAAGAGGTTAATGGTTCTGGGGTAGAATGAGATGAGCTCTAAGGTCCCTTCCGACCCAAACCATCCTGGGATTCTATGAAAATCCAACAGGTCTGGTTTTCAGATCCTGAGCATCTCCCTGGCAGTTAATGGAGTTACACTGGCGTCAGTCTGATGAAGGAGAAAGCAAATTGAATGCCTGGAATGGCAAGGATGGCTCCTCCCCTCTGCCTGTCCCCGCTGCTGTTCCTTCCCCTGCAGCTGCCGGAGCCCCCGCTCTGAAACCTGATGCCCTGGACGGGCTCCAGAGAGCCCAGAACACCCCCAGGCCCTGCCGGGGCTGTCGAGGAGCCTCCCTGGTTTGGAGGGAACAATGTGGACGTGGTTCCCAGCCAGAGCCTGTCCCATGCCTGGAGCAGCTGGAGCTGGTCACCAGTGAGGGGGGAGGTGGGGACGGAATCACCGGTGACTCGTGGGCACCGTGCCCGGCTTTGGAAGGAGCGTGATTAGGATTGGGATTGGGTGAGTCCAGGAGAGGATGGGGAGAGCATTGGAATGCTGCTCCTACCCCCTTCATCCCACACCTTTCAACTGCTCCCAGAGAAGCCGTGGCTGCCCCATACCTGGAAGTGTTCAAGGCCAGGTTGGGCGGAGCTTGGAGCAACCTGGGATAGTGGGAGGTGTCCCTGCCCGTGGAACGAGATGATCTTGAAAGTCCCTCCCAATCCCGGCCATCGTGTGATTCCATGTTCTGTGATCTGCCCTGATTTATCCACCTCTGCTGGAAGAGGAAAGAGGGGCCAGTGGGAGAGGATCCCCCCCGGAATGACTCCCTGCCTTCCTCCCGCAGCACCAGCCAGGGAATCACTGGAAATGTGTCAAATGGGAATCTGTAAGTGATGTCCAAGGATTAGGGTGAACTTCAGGCAGAGGTAACACCTGAAAGGACGGAGAGGAAGTTGGTGCTTTATGAGATAGAAAAGGAAAAAAATAGCAAATTAGAAAACTCCTTTCCTAAGAGTTGGAATCCAATTGACACCATAAAGCTCTCAAAGGAATCTTAATACAATTGGACACATCTTAAACAATTCCAGACGTTCTTAAAAAGGGGGAAGGGAGGAAGCATGAATAACACAGGGGAAAATGCTGGACTGAAACCTAAACACAGAGTGGTCAAGACCACTACCCCCTCCCAGCCTCGGCATTCCCGGCATGGGGGGTCCCAGGACCCCCTTTGGAAGTGCCTCCCTGCCAGGATCGACGTGAGCCGCTCGCGTTAGGAGGAATGAAAGAAGCACAAGCCTGGAACTCACAGTCAGAGCTGCTCCAAAGTTACCCCAGAGCCAAAATCTCGCAAACTCGCCGGGGTTTTATTTGTTTAACAGGAACAATTCGGGGAGGGGGTGGAAGTGCATTTCTTGGAGCTCAAACCAGATGTGCGACATCCCGGCCACAAAGCCTCGGCTTCTGCGCTGTTTGTTTTCCCCCCAGGAAGATAAAAGGAGCTGCGGGGAAGGTTTGGATTGGGGCTGCTCTCGGGTTTCACCCTGGCTCCGAGGGCGCTGGCAGGGGCTGCTCCACAGACCACGAACAGCTTTTTTGTTTGGCGGGGCCGGGAACGCTCCCCCGGAACGCGGCTGGGATGGAGGTGGGCTGTGCCCGAGCCCCGGGCTGAGCCTCGGCGTTCCAGCGGGCTGGAAGTTCGCTTGGTTTGATTCCTTCCCTCCTATAAAGCCACCGCCCCAGGGGTGCTGCCCGGAACTGCTTGGCCAGGTCGTGGTTCCATTTTGCACCGGGGAAAGGCTGGAGCCGCCTCTCCAAGCCCCGACTGCCCCATCCCGGGGAAATCCTGCAGGATCTGCCTTCTCCTCCTATAAATCTTTCCATGCTGCAAACAGAAAGTTCCAAATCCAGGCCAAGCCTTCCCTGCTGTTTCACCCTTGTGGTTTATAGACCTGTTACCAACGGAGATCTTGGAACAAACTCTGACTCCTCTGCTCCGTGTTTACTCCCACGTGTGCATCCCAGTGGGCTCCTCTACACCTACAGCATCACCCTGGGAATAATTAAAATAATTAACAAGTGTAATTAACTGTTGGAGGGGAAAGGGGGGTTTTAGCACGTTGTATCAGCAACAATTACATAAATCACCCTTTTTGTCTTGCAAAGGATTGACAGACAGGGGGAACAAGGAGGTGGGAGTTGCATTCCCTGAGTTGTATTCCCTGGTGCAGCGGCACCGGGACAGTGAATAGGGGTCGGTGGCTCTTGTGTGGGGACACAAAGCAAACAAAGAGGCCCCAAATGAAATTACTGAGCAGCAGATGCAAAGCCAACATATTTCACACGATGTGTAATTAAGCCACGGAACTCACTGCCCAAATGGAGCCCCAGAATCATGATGGGTTGGTAAGAAATTGGGCAGATTCTTAGAAGACAACCCAGTGGGGCTGTGGGACACAAAGACTTGTCCCCAGTGCAGGGCCAGCAAACTGGGGGGGTGGGACAGCACCTGGAGTTGTCCCCTGGCTCTGCCCTTCCCTGTCACCTCTTGCTGCAGCTGGGGGTGAAGGGACACAGGTTTGGACCCACCTTTGGTCTGAGCCCCTCTGGCCACACTCTGGGAGCCTCCAAAGGAGGAAACTCGCCCACTATCCCTGCACGTGGCTGTTGGTGGGGACAGACACTGTGGACACACCCTGTGCTGCCCACCTGGGCTGTGCACATCCCCTGGGCAAGTGTGTTCCCAGGAATATTCTCCACTGGAGTTGAAGGATGGGCTCCTCCTGATGCCCTTGAGTGGCAGAAGGTGCCCAGGAGGAAAAGGGCACCACATCCTTCTGCTCTTGGCAAAACTCCCTCCCTAACACCCACCCTGGGGCCCAGGCTTGCTGGGGGCTCCAGGGTCAAGGCCAGGTGAGCTGGAGAAGGGGGCCCAGACTCCCAGCTCCCCGTGTTGCTCGATTTGAGCTTGGGAAATATTTCCAACCCCCTTTTTGGCCCATCTGGGCTATAAATCTTTCTGGCTTCACTTAGTGCTGTAGCCTCTAGGTGGTGGTCATGGCTGG